GCCCAGGAGTTGGAAGTTGCTGTGAGCTGTAATGCCACGGCGCTCTACCCAGGGGGACAGCTTGAGCCTCTGTCTCAAAAAAAAAAAAAAAAAAAAGAGTTGCTGTAGGATATGAAAAATGACTCAAGTCTTTGGCTAAGGCTTGTCCAAACAAGTGAGGGGTAACACAGGGCCCCTAAATCCCTGGGGGTAACACAGTCCATGTGAGCTGGGTGTTGGAGTCAGAAGAGTCTTCAAAAGCAAAAAGGTATTGGGAATTGTCATGAAGTGGAATGTAAAAGAAGGCATCTTTTAAGTCTCGGACTGTGAAATAGGTAGCCTTTTCAGGGATATGACACAATAAAGTATTGGGAACTACAGGAAGGAGAGGAATGACTGCTTCATTTATAATACGGAGGTCTTGGACTAGTCTCCAAGTTCCGTTAGGCTTTGGCACTCCTAGAATAGGAGTGCTACATGGACTATTGCAAGGTATTAATAATTTCTGTCACTTTATATTCTGTATTATGAGTATTAGTTCATTCTTTTTTTTTTTTTTTTGGAGTTTTTGGCTGGGGCTGGGTTTGAACCTGCCACCTCCAGCATATGTGGCCAGCGCCCTACTCCTTTGAGCCATAGGTGCCGCCCTATTAGTCCATTCTTAACATCTGCTTTTAGAGGATATTGTTTTTGTTTGTTTGTTTTCTAAGACAGAGCCTCAAGGTATGGCCCTGGGTAGAGTGCAGTGGCATCACAGCTCATTGCAACCTTCAGCTCCTGGCTCTGTCTCCCAAGTAGCTGGGACTATGGGCACCTGCCACAATGCCCGGCTATTTTTTTTGGTTGCAGCCATTGTTGTTTGGAGGGCCCAGGCTAGATTAGAACCTGCCAGCTCAGGTGTAGGTGGCTGGCGCCTTAGCTGCTTGAGCTACAGGCGCCACCTGAGAATATTGTTTTTGATTGGGATAGATGGTGGGATTCTTTAATTTAATTTGGACTGGTTTAGCATATCTTGCTCTTCCCACCTGTCCCTCAGTAGCCCAGACTTCTGGGTTAATTTCTGTCTCTAATAGGAGAAGGCATAATATAGGTTCATGTCCCATATTCATAAATGGTTGTTCCTGCTTTAGTTAGTATGTCCCTCCCCAAAAGGGGAGCAGGACTTTCAGGTGTGATTGGGAAGGTGTGAGGGAACAGCCAGTTATCCTAATTTCAGTTTAAAGGCTGAGAGTAAAATTTGGTAATCAGCTTTCCAGACATACCCTTTATAGTTACAGATTTGGGGGATAAAAGATCAGGGTTAGAGAGAAGTACAGAAAAGATGGCTCCAATGTCCAGAAGAAATTCTATCTCCTGGCCCTCCACTATCGGGCAAACCCAGGGCTCTTGGGGGTGATGACACAAGCTGGAGCCATG